GCACAAAAAATTAATTATTACTTACCAATGCACCAAATCATTCATCCATTACAGGCATGGCCATAAAGCTTAGGTGCTGGGATCGTAGAAACCGATAAAGGACGAAGGTAAATGCAATATAAGTATTATCTGAAAAATGATTTGTATTGTGTACACTTCGATTCGTGTATTGAAAATTATCAGCTTACCTAACGAATTCTGTCACTATTAACAACCTATGTATTCAGCAATGGTTCCTTATAACACATCTCGAAATGAAATAAGCTGAAGTGAGAGTTATGAAATTCTAAATACGCCAACTTAAGTGTGGTGTTTTGCTTTAACTCTGTTTCGTTTCCTTCTAGGTTAATTATAATCAGTCACCTCTGCTTTCTTTAGCATTAGAATGCATATTTTGCTCTTTAGCTCTTTCGATTGTTTTGTCCATGAAAACTCATTTTAAGATCCAGTTGTCTTTGTAACATTTACAAACTCATCAAATTTTATTTCCCCTGAACTTCCCTCCCCTACTCTCGATGTTGTTAGTAAACTTTACAATAGAGATTTCATTTCAATTTGTGCTCGCTTTTTAATTTGTTCGTTTCGCAAATATAAAGAGGCAGGAGCATATAAGAGCAACTGAAGACTTACATCTTCTTACCGTGCATTGGACTCCTGAAGTTTTATAGGGAAAGTCGGTTGACCTGCCCTATTTCCTTTTCTTGCAGAACATTGTAATCATTCTTCGTGGCCGGAAACAGCACTTCCTTTCTTGGTGACATATTTAGGACTCCTACTTGCAATGGGAAGGCAAGAAACGACACTGAATCAGGGATCGAAATTCGTAGATTAAAGGACCACTTACACCAAGTATAATCTCTGAAAATGTGAATATATAACCTTATTTGAATATATATATATATATATATATATATATATATATATATATATATAATCGTGTATTTAATGCGGAGAGAAATTATGTTCCTGTAATATCCTCTCTAATCATTGTGGTGTCTCTGAACATTTTGTGAAAATTAGGAATACAGTAAATATTTGTATGTATTCTTCCAATAATACGTGTTCTGAACTTTGGGGAGGAATTAATTTCATTTGATGTAGTTAAGCTTAAATTCAGCATTAAAATTATAGTGATATTTTAGATACAATATATGCTACAGAATTGTTTCGCATCGTGTTCGATTCCCTCGAGTCGCCCGCTGCCTCAGCTCTTCTGCGCACCGATGACAGTTGCCTGCAGCGAGGGAAACGGTGCAACTAAGAGCGGAATACATGGGCCGAGTGGGCAAGCAACTCGCGCATTTAAATGCTCGCCCTCTTTATCTCTCTTGTCTTCTCCTCCTTCCCTCTCATCTCATCTCTTTCGTCTCGTCTCCCTCTTGCCTCCTTCTCTATTTCGCCTCTTCTCTCTATTTCTGCTCCTCTCCCGTGTTCTCCTGCATCCTCTCCCCCGGCCCTGACGCGCCCCTGCGCGTGCGCGAGAGCGCTCGAAGGGACGGGAGTGGCGATCCCGCGCGCGGCGGGGTTGGGGTTGGGGTTGGGGTGGGGCCGTGGCCCGGAGGGCGTATCGCCGGCGATCGCAGAGGCCGTCATGCGATCGCATTAATATGGTAAGACGCGGCGCGGCGCAGGCGGCAGGGCGGGTGGGTGAGCAGCGAAAGTGGAGGGGGAGAGGGATAGGATTAAGAAGCAGGGTGGACGGCGAGTCTGTGAGTGGAGGTTGGGATGGACTGATTGATAGTGATTCCGGGGGCGTCAACGTCTAAGGTCGTTGGTCCCGTAAGTGTAGTGCATGTTTCGTGCTGGATAACTATATCCGGCGCCGACCTAAGGAAAGGAAAGATCGCGGCCCGTTTGTTAGGGGACTGCTCCGACATTCGCCTGGTGTTGATCGGAGAAGCCCCGGAAACCACGGAAAAGTACCGATCAGAGCAGCGGGGACGCTAGAATTCTCGTCCAGACAGCGACTGAATTCAACCTAGCTGACAAGCCAGTGTCGAAAATCCTGCCATCGTCGGGACTCGAGCCTACGTCCTCTCGGTCACAGTGACCCCCCTGAGCCATCTCTCCCGGTGTTAGAATGGGCAAGTGAATGGACTGATAAGCAGACGAGTGGGCTAATGAGCTAGTGAGAATGCTGATGGGTGGGAGAATGGGCAGGTGGTGGGTGTGCATGGGCTGGATTGGTTCATTGATTGGTGTCCGGATGCGTTACCTGTTATGATCTTAGTACCCTTAAATGTGAGTGTTACATATCGGGAGATAGTCCCCCCCCCCCTTGTGCGCGAGGTTCGACGTCGATCTTCACGAAAGCTTCATGGGTTTCTCCCGCAGGTATCTCCGCCAGCGGTGCATCATCGCAGTCGGTACAAGCCCTTTAACTGGGGTCCCAGCAGGTGTGCTGATGGTTTTTTCTGTAGTGGCCGATGACATTGTTACACCTCCTGCCGCATATTAAAATTAATATTTTTAACAGTGATAAGCACATAAAAGCCGCGCTCAAAGGATGTTGTCGAATGAATTAAAAATACTAATTTTATAAGACGGGAAGTGCAACAATAACCTAATGCCATCGTCCACTAGAAAAATCGAAGTATAGTGCACGTAAGGGGAGAGGAAAAGACATGGATGAGGAAGTGAAGATCGCGAGCGTCCCTTGCCCCATTGTTAGACGGGCCACGTGCGCAGACTGATTTCCTTTCTGGCAATCTAGACAACGAATTTGAATGGCGCGTTCAGGCCAGTCAGCGATTCTTCTGGCGGTTCTAAAACAATCGGGCATGGCCGAAGGCCGCATCGCCCTGCTTAGTGGATACTTCCGCCAGCCATACGGGCTGGAGCCACTACTGTTATTGCCTCGGAGAATCAGTTTAGTGCCTTAAGTTAGTTAAAGTAGAGACGAGTGATTTACATTGTATTAATATCGTAACTAAAAAGGATATTGTAGGAATTGAGACTAATCATTCCAAAAAGCAGATGAGAGTAGGTATGCATGTGAAGGTAGTCATCAAATGGATGTAAACGGACAGAAACTGTTATATCCAATTTCAATGAGTCTGGTTTTTACTTTCTCGCTACGGAGTAGGAAGGAAGTTATGCAATGCAGCGCGAAAAAACGGCGAATTTTCGGCAGAAAATCTCCTATTACAGGGCCCTGGTAACGAAAAAGTTGATAAATTCAGTTGCTAAATTTAGAAAAAAATCCTCTAACACGTGGTATAGCGAAAATCCATTTTTTGTGTGTCCTTGATTCCGAAAACTCAAATGATGTAAAACGTCTGTCTGTTATGCCGAAATGTCGCCGTTTTTTCAGCGGCATTGCGTAACTTTCTCTCTACTGCGTGAGCGGAAGCGAGGACCCAGACTGAAGAGACGTGGCCGGAGGCGCAGTGGGGTGGGCGGGGGCGGGGGCGGGGCGGGGGGGGGGGGCGGCGGCGGCGCGCAGGGCTGTGGGCGGTGTGAGGGGGCTGCATGTATTAAGATGGCTATCTGCGGCGGTGTTGCGAGGTTGTGGGTCACTGACGGGCGGGCGGGCGGGAGGGCGGTCAGGGGGAGGAGTCAAGGCCGTCGCCTCGCGCGTTGCGTAGACGTGGCTCCGTCGCCCTCCCTCTTGCGCGCCCGCTCCAGATTTAGGCTGGCCGCTGCAGCGGAGACGGCTGGGCTTGCGCTCGTCCCTTGGTGCCGCCAAGCGAACAAGGCGAACGCGGGGGTTGCTAGGATTTTAATCGAGATCATCAATCAACGAGCAGAGCTACTAGTTGATTGATTGATTAGCATTTTCGGGCGCGACAACTGCGAAGGTTATTATTCCTATAACTGTAGTACATGTTTTAGCGCGGGGTGTGGCAGTGACTTTCCTCCTTTGGATGGGAGATAGAGCCGTGGTGTTGGTTTGCTTTATCTGTGCCATTTAGGACGCCGGGCAGACTGGTTGCCTGTTCACCGCTGCGCAGCACGGAAATTGTAAACTCAAATGGTAAAGGAAATACAGACGGGTGATACCTAAGCCTATGGTTACAATATTTTAATGTTTTTATATGCTGAGTTTCTTATTGATTTGAAGTTCCGAATTCTGCGATCTCTATATCCACGAGATTACGTTGCTTGCGAATAAGCGTGTCGTCTTTACAGATCGCTTTCTTCAAATGGTATCTCAAGTCTATTATGCTATGCGCGAAGCCTTAACCCGATTGTATTACTACAAAACTACATGCTAAAACAACACGTCCTTTCTCACCCGTATTTTCACGCGAAATTACGCGAAAAATACTCAAATTTTCGAAAAATTGTGCATGGCCTTATTTCAAAATATATCTTTAAGATACATATCCCATTAATGGAAAAAATCCCTTTCTTTAATATTTTAGTTGTAGGAAGACACCCCAAAATACTTATTTGAAGTTTTCCAATTTTCGAAAAATAGGTTTTTTAACGACCATGAGATTTGCACCATTCTCTTAAACGCCCTTCACACTATCCAACAACAATATAACCAAAAACGATTGAACCTTTTTTATTTGCAAAATGTCCCAAGGGCTTCATGTAAAGTACCCCACAAAATTAAAATATTGGTTTCAAATCCGAGAGACCGCAACATCAGTATCGATTTTAGAGAAAATAGACAGAACGGTTTAGCCGGTAGCATTGTTCACAGACGAACGGACAGACGAAAAAACGGAAGGACTGACTGACAGACGTTTTTCCGTCATTCAATATTTCGGTATTAAGAACCCACAAAACATTCTGGCTACATCACGTGCTAGAGGATGTTTTTCCCCTAAATTTAGCAACTGGATTTATCCAGGTTTTCGTTATCAGAGCCATGTAATGAGGGATTTCCTGCCGAAAATTTGCCGTTTTTTCCACACACTTTTCCGTAACCTTTTCTCTACTTCGTAGCGCGAAAGTAAAAAATCTATTGTAATACGTGTTATTTAGTCAATCTGGGCACCTACCTCCAACCCTGATTTTGCGTTGATGTTGAGTGCGCCGTGTTGCAGGCTGGACGGCGAGGAGGTGCGGCTGATGCTGTGGGACACGGCCGGCCAGGAGGAGTTCGACGCCATCACCAAGTCCTACTACCGCGGCGCGCAGGCGTGCGTGCTGGCCTTCTCCACCACCGACAGGGACTCCTTCGAGGCGGCGCACTCGTGGAAAATGAAGGTAATGGCCCTCTCCAACTCCGCCGTCCTGCGGAGGGAAGTAAAGCCGGCTCTCCCATGGTGTAGATTCACTGTATGTTAAAGATGCTCACGCTGTTAAAGATTCGCACGTATGTTTAAGATACCCCCAAAAAGGTACGGATTCGCAGACTTAGCCACGTAATTGTAATGTCATCAACACAACATCTGAAGGCAGAGAGTAAATTATGAAAATTGTTTTTTAAAGCACAAGTGCTGAATCTTCTGATTTCACTCTTTTTCTTTATATCCTACCAGACTCTGTATTTAGGATAAAGACTTCAAATTCTTAAAAATGTTAGTCAACTTTTGTTTCTCATTTTAATCATTTTTTACTAAGAATTTATTTATTCTTTTGCAGGTTGAAGATGAATGTGGAGAAATTCCTACAGTCCTGGTACAGAACAAAATTGATTTGGTGGACCAAAGTGTTGTTGATCCGTAAGTTAACTGCAATTAATTTCCCCTTATATCTATTACAGAAATAGGTTCCCCAAAATATTGAAGTCACATATATGATTTTGGGTACACTTGTAAGTCTACCCTTTGGAAATTTTATCTTTTCACTGAAACACTGAATAAAATTCATCTAATTACTTCATAACTGATTTTTGCATTTTACCTGATAAGGAAAATATTCTACATATATTTAATCTCTCAGCACTGTATTTCATTATTGCATAGTAGTTATGCACATTTCAAGAATGATTGAAAAATGTACCTAAAATCTTGAGTGTGTTCTCTTTATTACAATATTGGTATGTGTGGAATGAGTGCCACTGTAAGTGACATTGTATTTTCATTGGACTAGAATAGAGGTTCTCAAATTATTTTGACTTTCTCTTGTACTCCTACATAGTACAGGGAAGGATGTAATGCTGCAGAGAAATGAGCCAAATTTTCAAAAGGAAAACATGTTTTGAGGATGGTCCCTGATTCTCGAAGGTAGATTTATCTTCCTCCTAAACCTAGTGTTTTCCTTTATCATAAATGTAGAATATGTTAGGAAAGGAATACATGTGGTATGTCAAAATTCACATTTTGAGGGTCCTTGAAACCACAATAGAAGCTTTTCTGAAAACATCTATTCTTCAACATCCATCACATCCGTGGACAACACTAGCACCTAAATCAAATGTGCTCATATTTCATCAAAAAGGATATTCTGGCCTGGTCTGGTCTGCCCTGCACGTAATCCAAACACTAAAAACTCAGCATCCTGCAGTACTTTAAGTGTATTTAGTACCATTACTCCATTACAATTAGTCTCTTAATTAAAAGGTTCATCACTATTAGATCCTTCTCCAGTGGCGTAGTGTGGGTGTCAGCTGCCTGGGGGCCGAGGAAAATTTTGCCAGCCCATATTTAGGCATTTCAATTTAAAAGACTGAAATGTACAATAATTCTGAAGATTCATTTTTACTGCATTTTCACTGATTTCATTGATTTTAATATCCTTATAATGAAACTTGCTTCAAACAATAGTTATGAGGGTCAACAAAAATGTTCACCACAAAATTCCTAAATAGCCTATTCGATTTCTACACTCATACATTGTTATGTGTGCTACGTAATCTAAAGTTCTTGTGACGCTTATCAGCGCAATTGTCAGTTTGGCCAATAAATAAAGTCAGATTTTTTCATATACAGAACAGTCCAAACCCATAGCTTGCAAGCAGAGTTCACTTGAACAAAAGGAAGAAGCCTCGATTACATCTGTAATGTACCCAACAATTTGATTTGTTCATCCGAAGTGGTTTGAATCAAATTTTTTTACGTCATTTTTCTTTGGTTTTAGGGCATTTTTAGAGCATTTTTGGCAATGTTTTAGGTCATCAAAATCAACCCCTACTTGTGATTATACTTTGACAATCGACGAGATTAAGTTATTAGCGAATTGAATATGAAAACACAACTAGAACTGGAACAATACTGTTACTATTTATAGTTTTATCAAAAAATAATATAATTGTTAGAATAAAAAAAAACTTATATCTTCTAAAACTTTATTCATCTACTTTTTTTAATAGGAAAGTCTTCTATTGAACTATCAATGTCTATAGCATCACATACCTCTTGCTCAATAAACAAGATAGCCAGATTGGAAAGCCTTAAAGCATCAGTTACAGACTTCCCTGAAGGGACTTACCCATACTTTACCCTACAAGTAATTTGCAGATGTCATTATACTATATTGAACACTATTCTTTATGTGATCAAAGTCATTCTCACTGAATGTTAGTCATAAACAATCCAAACACAAAATAAAATATGGGGAGTCTTTACAAGTTGGTACAGACAGTGTTGCCCATCACTACAATGAACAAATATCATTATGACACATTTATTTAAAGAAGTCATCACAGAAAAAGTAATGAAAGATTCTGTGTTCATTTCAATTGGTCTGAATCATAGGTGCGACAAAAATATGAAATGAAATGGTTCAAAGTTTTACATGATATTACTATTTATTGTGAAATTTTTCCACCCCCTGAAAGTGCCACCTGAGACGGGTCATCCCTACTGCCCTCACTACACTATGCTACTGTCCTTCTCCATACAGTTACTAGGTGCACTTCCTTCTCCTACCTTGGCAGGTTCTGTCTTAGTTCCAACGTGTCTAATAACTTCACGTATGACTCGTCGACCACTCCAAAAGCCGCTCCAGCCATCTCCACTGACATTAATCCTCAACTAAACAAGTACTGGAGTCTTTGATGATCAAAATCACCTGGATCAAATCTCTGATTGAGCCAGCATATAGTGAATCAAATTCAACCCTAAAAGTGTCAACTCTTCTCCCTAACCAGACCCCACTTCCTTTTTATCCATCCTCTGTTAGCATACAACTTGATATCCAGTTGTCATTCAACTCCAGTCCAATACCTTAGAGTCCTCTTTGATCACTACTTTACCTGGAAACCTCACATACACCATAGAGTTGCCCTAGCCCCACAAGGAGCTCTTCCCAGCAGTTCTTCCCACTTCTATATCAACCCTTCTTCCCTTCAAATCTGTGCCGGAAGCCATCTCTACAAAGAACAGACCATGCTCACTTATGCAAGTCCAGTCTTGGGTTCAACAACCAAATCTCACATCCAAAGCCTTGAGACCTTCCAAAATTGATTCCTAAGGCTCGTTACCTAAGCACCCTGATTCATAACCAATGACCATCATGAGGTTGGTATAATACTCCCTACTCACATCAAGGACAGATCCAGTCAATCATTTTGGGGGAGCTTTCATAGATGTTTGTTAAATAATAAATATATTTCTTATTATATTGTTTATTATTTATGTACTGTAGATATAATACAATACAGTATTATTATTTAAATAATTACATATTTGGAACATAAATAAATAATTATATCAATTTTGCCAAATAAAGGAAGGTAAGCGAAAACTCAAGGTCTTTGGGAGAGGGAACATTGGGAGGGAAATAAAGTGAGAGGGAACATAAACATATGGCCCCCATGCCCCCCTCCCCATCACTGTGTCCATCAGTGACTTGCATCATACAATCCGCCCTTAAACTTCATCACAAAATCCCTTCAGTACCACATCCAACCAGGAAAACAAATCCCAAAAAGAATAAGCACCTTTTGGAACTACCTAGACACTTTTTTGGCCCATCTTAATCTTCTCTAGTCTCATTCCTCCGAATTGTCTCCGAATGTTTTTTAACTCAAACCATAATGATGCAATAAGAATGATCTAAAGAGTAGCAAATAAGTAGGAAATAATATGGACTTTCAAAAGAGTTTAATATTCTTTGATGGATTTCCTCATATTACCTGAAATATGTGACAAACCAATGGTACTACAGCAGCATACTTTCTCAAGTTATTGATAACTATAGTAAGACGTCAATTATCCAAACTAATTGGGACCGGGTATAGTTTAGATATTTGATAATTCGGATAACTGAACCTTGACTGTAGTACAGTATTCATTAATATTTGATCACTGTCAATCATATCAAGGAACGCTCATTTTGGATTCGGATCAAGACATTTTGGATGATTAACGTTCAAATAATCGACATCCCACTGTATTAAATATAATTATTAATATCACCCCCCCCCAAAAAAAATATTACCCAAAATTACCAAAATCTACTAACATTTGAAAAGATATGCATGACCTTAATTAAAGATCTTATTTTCAAGAACAGATTTTAGTGACAAAAAACTATATATTTTCAGTAATGTAGTTCTAGATGTGGGTCAAAGAAATGTTTAACTTTTACAATTTTCAAAAATTCAGAGAATTAAATGAAAATCAAACCTGCCTATTTTTTTAATGCGTATACAATAATGCATTAGTGTTTCTGATTTCTAACATTTCTATTGGAATGATTTATTACTTAATAAATTGAATAGTGATATAACACTCTCATGTAACATTTTATTTATAACATAATATACTATAGAACATTGTGCAGATTATTCAAGGAGTTAGGAAATAATGATTTCTTGTTTATTTTGTTACAAAGTGAACAGTGGCTTTCTAAACCTCTAATGTAAATTTGTGTAGTGGAATTTGAAACTTGCTTCTTGCCTTGATAGATCTGTTTATTTTTGTATTCTTCAGAGAAGAAGCAGATTTATTAGCGCGTGCCCTGGGCTGTCGACTGTTGCGCACCTCAGTGAAGGAAGATATCAATGTGAATGCTGTTTTCCATCACTTGGCTGCCAGTTGTTTGGCTGAGTTACATGAGCAAGAAGAAGAGTATAGTATGTCAGGCGGTGGATTCATGCCTCTTACCATCAGTAAGTGATACCTTTCCACTCCAAGATTTTTTTCTTCTTCTTCTGGAGGCTTTTTCTAGCTATTAGGGGATGCTAATTTGGCTATCCAAGCCAGTGTGTTCTTCATAGGGACACATATTAATCTTTAAAACTAGGCAGACATGCAGGCTCTCGGTCTGTGGACAGACTCGTAAATCCTTATGCGTCAATACACATACATGAAAGACAAGGGACAAACAACCATGCCCACAGTGGGATTCGAACCCACGACCCTTCAATACACTCTAAACATCTCGGCGATCCATGTCGGCTTTTCTACTTCAATTTATCCTTAGTAATTAAATGAAAGAACTTTCTCAAAAAGTATATATTTTAGATTAAATTTGCATTATCTTAGCAAAATGAATACAAATGTATTATTAAATTTTACCTATGATAAAAAACACATTGCTACTCTTTCACTGGAGTTGCTTTGCTTTTTGAGAAAATACAAAATAACTCTTTCAATACTGATTATTTTGGGGAAAACATGTAGGTTAAAAGAGTTTCATGAATGTACACAGAGAATATATAAAAAATAAATAATATATTCAAGGGGCTCTATCAGTGAGCTCTACAAATTAGTTTAAAATACAGGACAAAAGCAGGATATATTAAAACAAGGGCCAGTAACAGATACATATGTTCCAGGTTTGCAAACTAAACACTCTGCATCCTCAGCAGTGCAACCCTTTTTGAAGTTTTTGTATTTCATCTCCAACTCAGCAGTAAAAGTACACCTATTATTTTTTCATTTTACCATATAGGGAATACCAAACGCTGTTTCATTAATGCATAAACTATGCTGAAATTGACACACTTTCGTTTAAGCCATATCTGGAAGTGGTGACATGTTTCTTCCTGTTTATTTCTACCAGTCCAACTGTGAGCTCTAAAATTCTCATAGACAGGAATGCTCATAGCTTACTTGATAAGGGATGTGATACAAAGCTCAATCAAATAGAATCTTTCTTTTTTAACATACTAAGAACCACAATGCAACCGTGACACACAGTACACTAACTTAATGTTTAAAAGATGGCAGTAAAAAAAGTAAGCAAATGAAATTTTAGAAAAACAACAACATTAGTTTATGGTTCTTGAAAGATTATCAATATTTTAACACAAAATTTGGACAATTTGCCGAGTTTGGAAAGTAAGTACGAACGCCAGCTCAATCGCTAAATATATGGACATGTCCTGCTAAGTACGGACATCTGGTAACCCTACCCAAAACCAAAAAAAATCACTTTTTATTCTTTTTAAGATTTAAGTTCTTAAAATGACATGTCATGATTTCTAATGAATTTCTTTATCAATTTACCTAACAGGTAATTTGACTGAAATCAAAAGTACACATTTTAAAAACAATAAAATCAATATTGTTTATTATTTTAACATTGTGAAAAATGATGTTTAGTTGAATGTATGTTGGTTGCTAATACTGCCATTAAACCAATTTTGCTTCAACACTTTCATCGATCTCATTACCACATTTTCAGATACACTGAAGTCTCTCTAATTCCTTTGACCCCTGTGAATAAGCTGGTAAGTCATGAATGCTTCAATTTTACTGGAGAGCAAAAACATCTTTCAACTGATATAAATCAGGGATTAATGATATTCAAATGAAGGTGATATTCAAACTAAACTATTGTGTGTAGGTTTCATTTGACATCATTAAACCCTGATTTACAGCACCATCTGAAAGGTGTTTTTTTAAGCTCTCCTGTAAAATTTAAGCATTGATGACTTATCAGCTTATTCACTGGGATCAAAGATATATTCCCTTAAATAGGATCATCTTTTGTCATAATAATAAATTGAAAGTTTTTTCTCAAAAACATTTTTGCCCAAAGAAGATAGAATAGTATCTGCATTAATTATTAATTACATTTATTTAATAATTGTGATGACAGGATTAAATTTTATCTTGTAATTAACTTTAAACTCATTTGTGCTTGTCACCAATTCTTATTCGAAGTCTCATTGCTCTACAGGCATTGAGTAGGGGAAATTGGAATTATTTAATATTCTTTATTAAATAATTCTGTGTGGTGGTATTCTTAGGTTTGAATATTACCGTCTTCACTTTTAAAACTGTCACTTGATGTTTTCATTTCTTTCCTTTTCCATCTTTGAATGTGAAAGTGATTTTAACATCTAGTTCCTTAGAAACAATAGCATAGAATAGAAATTTCCATGACATAGAAACAAACATATTGAAAAAGAACATAGATTCCTCTTCCAAAATCATTCACAAACCTTTTAAGTACATCCATAAAATGTAGTGTAATATAAAATGTCAAAAATTATTAATTTATGCAATATTTAAAACGTGTTTTTTTGGTAATGTTTCAGGTTCATTTAGCCCAATGAGCCAAAATGGCAAGAATCATTATGGTAATGAGACAATTGTTTTACAATCAACGAAGCAAAAGAGTCACAAAAAGAAAAACGTGCTGCGAAATGCCTGCAGAATATTATGATACTTCAACGAACAGCATTGGTTCTGAGCAATGCTCCAATATAATGAACAGTTATGTGAACTGAAACGAATATTGGTGCTAATTGAGTATATCTGCAAACTAACAGTTTTATGAACGCAGTTAGAAGGAGTTTATATGTTGATGAATGATGACTGAATTAGTTACATTGTGAAATATAGGGAAAGTGAAGATAGTTTTCCATTGTATATTTGACACGTAGTGACTCTGGTCAGAAGACATCTCAATGAACATTCATCAGTGTTCTATGCAGATTTCTTCACATGTACTTGGTTTATGAATGAGCAACCATCTCCTGGGGAGAGCTTGCAGACGTTAGTTTTATGACTGTCGAATGAATGGTGTATGTTTGTAAGGGATACAAATACATAGTCTTCTCCAGGGCTTCTATATACACATGTATATTATACTCATTTAAAAGTTTTACTTACCGAAGAGTTTTTGTAAAAAAAATATTATTTTCTCTAAATGAATCTGTTTTTAAACAGATTCCACTGTCTGTACAGAAATAACAAAAAAATTGTTCTTGTAAACTTCATTGCAAATTAAAGACTTGTGACAGTTGAAAATAAATATACCCAAAGAACATATGTCCTTCTAGATTATTTCTTTGTGTGTAATATAGGATATGTTAAGTTCCTTAACCCTAACAAGTGCTCCTAATAAATGTGACTAAAATGTTTCATTCAGTTGAATCTCTGCAAAAAGAGTTCTTTGCATTTCAGCTATCACCATAAAAACAGCATGATATTGAAAATCATCACTATCAAATTGAAGTAAGTCAAATCAGATGAAGTAATTGAGTAAAGAATGTATTGGAAATGGTTATTATTATATTAACGCAAGAGTGTCTGCAATGTAACTTGCAGATACAGCAGTTTTCAAAAATATTTATACTAACCCAAGAATGCCTGCAATGTACCTTGCAGATACAGCAACTTTTGAAAATTTCAAACTTATGTTTTTGTTCTTCGTCTTCCTACAACTACCAAATTGAAGATAATTATTTATTATTTCTTTCATTCAGGTAATGTACATTTTTGAAACTTGGTAGTTTTTGCACAATATTGAGGGCAATATTTGTAATTTTCAAAAATTACAAAAACAAAATTGTCCTCAAAATGGCTCCAATTTTTTTCTTTAAACGTTTGGTAAGGTAACACTGGTGAACCACAATCCCTTGTTGTTTTGTGTGTCCTTGATACCGAAAAATCAATTGACGGCAAAACGTCCGTCTGTCCGTCCATCTGTGAACACTACTAGCGCCTAAACCATGCGTAGCTTTTTTCCCAAATTGAAGAAACCCCTGTCCATCTAGCTCGAGTCGAAGCTTTGAGATTTTGAAAAACATTCTTTAAAATTTTGGGGTGCTCTACATGAAACCCTCCGGATATTTTCAAAATTTTCTCAAAAATAGCTTCAATTTTTTCTTCAAATTTCTTAACATTTCTTAAATTTCTAAAATTTTTTAAGTATAGAGTAACATTCACTTAACACATTCACAGTAATATTCACTTAACATTCACATAAAAGTGGCATAGGTACGATTTTCACGGTTAATTCAAATTTTCGAAAATTTCAAAAGTATGAATTTTTTCGTCGTCTTCTTACAAAAACAAAATTGAAGATAAGAAATTTTTTCTTCAAATGAAATTTATTCTCCATAATTAGTTATATAATTAACTCCATGTACATTTTTTAGACTTTTGATAGGTTTCGCGCTATATTGCGTGCAATATTTGCAATTTTAAAAGAATACGAAAACATTTTTTTTAAATGGCTCAAATTTTTTTCTTTAAACTGTTGGTAGGGATAGTGCTAAATATACTCTACAGATGACATAAACGCCATTTTGCTCAATTTTTTGTTGTTTTTTTTAAATTCAAAAATGCAATTTTTTGACTTGTCTTTAACGTCGTTAATATTTATATAAGCGGTAATTTGTTCACATTAGTATATTTATTAGTACATTTGCTCTAAACAATGTCAGATATTGTTTCTCGAAAACTCAACCATTTTTTGTGAAAAGTAGCTCAAAATTCCGCATTTTTTTAGAAGCGCTCAAATGCCGTTTTCTTAAAAACGGCTCCAAATTTTTCAAAGAAAATTGCAATTTGGGACGAGGTTTTACTGTTCTTTAATATCCTTAAAACAGTATTTCCGTTCTACTATTAGGAAGCTGAAAAATTAAGACAATTTTAAAACAACTTACTTTGGGCGGTAGTAGATGACAGTTTGCAAGAGTATGTGGCAAGTCCGAATAGCTTGCTGAGATCAATGGAAATAGAAAACTAATACGGGAAAGTCTGCGCCATTCTCATGCACCACTAGTTTTATTTTCATTTGATAGTCTGTAAGTACATTGGAAGTTATCTTTATACATTTCTTAACCAAATAAACACGTTTAACAAGGAAAAGGGGAAAAGGTGGGATTTAACATGGGAGAATTCTCTCATGGGTACGCTACTTCTAATATTGACGTTGTAGAGACAAGGGAAAAAAATAATGTGATGATAGCAGTGGCGAATATTCGGTAAGACAGACATGTCCCATGCCATGGGCACCCCTCACAAAGGGCCCTATTTAGAGTATATCGGCTTAAACTAATCACAAAAACTCCTATTTGAAGTATTCTGAGAGAGACGCAAATTCTGTGCTTGCCGTGGGCTCCTAGATACCTCTCTACATGATAAACCGGCGAATCGGTGATAACATTATAAAATTTACATTCTACAAGGCAGAAGCGTAACGAAATGAGTGCAAAAGGTTTATTTATAAATTTTATAGCCCCTTTATAAAATATTGTAGCAAACACAAGTAGAGTTTGTACCTTAAATAATAAAAATAGGGCCCTCTTTTACTCGAGCTCAAACTTTACGCCACTGATGCAGAGTTAAATATCAATGTGATTAGTAATTAAAAAACAGTTTACCGCGCAGTTTACAGTGTTAGGCATAAGCCAACCTTACCGCCCAGTGAGTTTTTCGACAAAGCGGTATTCAGCCAGAGTGCACAAAATACTTAATTGATCCTACAGACAAATCGACATAAATGTGAAGTTTATCATGTTATTAAGTTTTTCTGAGGGCAATGCATCAATTCTACCCAGTAGTTATGGCATATAATCCCAACCAGAGAAGTGTTTACCTCAGCCTTGCTCGTCTTACATAAAGGCGAAGCAGCTCCTGATAATCCAAATAGCGTAAGCCGTCACAATCACACTTCGCCTGATACCGAACACACGGATCAGCTGCAATCAATCAAGATTCTCCCGGAGGCGTAGCTATCGACGCAAATCAAGGAATGTACAAACAGCAATGCAGCAGCCTTCAGTAGAGAAAGGTTTGAGTCACGAAGACTTAACTAGTGACGGAAAAAAAAACTATGACAATTCATAGGCGATCACCAGAACATTCATTATAATGTTACTTCCAACAGGTGCGGATCCACGGGAAGAGAAATCCCCCCCTGCATTCTTCAGTAACTATTAATTTTAACTTGTCACGAGACTTTCAAGAAAAATATTTTCGGATTATCATTAAAACGAATAAAATCGTATCGCGGCATGTGCTGAGTATAGCCTGCGACATTTTATTAAATCTGTAATATGACATATTCGATGAAACCATTTAAATTTCCCCTTACAAAATTCGTCTCTGAATCCGTCCCGAGTACCAATAATACTATAGACGAATTTTTATCGAAACTAGAAAACAGATAGAAAGTAACAGATTTAAGTACTGAAACGAAATGAATCGACAGACCAATGAAACAACAGACCCTCCACGGAAAACCCCACCCATTTTTGTTGCCTGTTGAATCGTTACGTTGAATCCTCAACGTAAATATCTTCCCAAGAGAAATAAAAACCAAGGTGACAAATAACTTCGTAACAGACCTTAAGCTCAATAGCATGAAACTCAGTGCGAATACCTCTACTGACTTCCTTTTAATAGTAAAATACTTTGTGGAGACCCATCGGAGCTTCCATTCATTCTTTCCCTCCAACAATAACTTTTCCGTGCTATTAAAAATTTGCATCAGTCATTTTTCGACCAAGGCGTATTTCAACATCGAAAGCAACGCTACCCATCAATTATCAATATTACCAGACTTTTACAATTACCTGACCTTAATGAGAGAACTCACTATTTTTAATGAGAGAACAAATTTTATGAAGGAAGGCGCTGCAAAAAATCAAACCTTCGTAATTTTCGAAAATACAGAGTTAACCGTGAAAATCGAATCCGTTCCACCTTTTTTTACAAGAAATGCAAAGAAAAAAAATTGGAAGCGTTTTTGAGAAAAATTTGAAAATGTCCGAAAGGCTTCACGTAAAGTACCCTAAAAGTTTGAAGAAAGATATTCAAAATCGTGACACCTCTAGTGGAGCCTGATTGACCTGAGAATATCAAACTCAAAGAAATATGCACACCTTTTTATCTTATCCAAATAATCACCAACTTCCTACAAGATAGAATCTTCGCGATCACGGTCAGAAACCACCGATCAAACCCTCAAACTGCAAAAGCAGGATTACCACACGGATCACCGCTTTCACCAACGTCATTCTATCTGTACACGGCAGACTTACTCAAACTCAACTCAATAAGAATAGCGCAGTTTGCCGATGACACTGCAATCTGCATTCCTGCCATTCATTAAAACTGATTATAACTCAACTTAAAAAAAGAAGTTATATCTTAACCTTCTAGTCAGTTGGTCTCAAAAATAAAAATTAAATGAAATCCAAACAAAACTGTGCGTGGACTCTTTGACCAAACCTCTGGGAAGCTTTTCTATTACTCTCTTCAATTTATTAACTATCTACGGGGCAAGATACATGCACAAACTAATAATACTGAATGCGTGTAGTGCTATTGTCGAAGATCAAAACGGTGTCAGTTGGTACATATTCTTTCAACTAATGACTAGGTGAAGTTGACAAAAGATAAAGGCAGATCGCTGATATATGCCATAATGTTTTAGGATAGTGCAACAGTTTCAAAGTTTTACATGTTGCAATGTGAAATCCTGGAATGTAATCCATTTACCAGATATGCATATTGATCCCTTGGTTCTTTGAGTTCCCGCGCTACACGATGAGGCAAAATGGCAGCTTACTATACCCCTTCTCTGCATAGTGTTAACAATTGAAGTCAGAGTCGCGCTGAGAATTACGTCAGCAAGGAGTTGGCAAAAGTCGTGAGCTGTCAGGCAGTGTTCGTATGTGTGTTCGCGTGTTCGGAACTTTGGGTAGTGGCGCATGCGGGACATGCGGTAGTGTGAGAAGTGTGGAATCCGGTGTCTTTTGGATTCCACTGAATTCATAGAACTCGGATGCAGCGTGAAATCAAGAGAACCTTTATATGTCATTGAATGAGGCCACTTTTTAATTTATTTTTTAGTGTAGTATTTTTTCGTCGGTCACCTCCGAAAACAGCACGTTCGATATTTACGAGCACTTGGCATTTGAAAGAAAAGGCAGTTTGGGGGTCGAAAAAACAGCACAGAAATTTGAAACTTCGCTTACATTGGGAAACAATGGCAGATCCTAAAACGGAAGAAATATTGGCGCCTTTGCGGGCAGCTGTTAAAGAACAGGTAATATTACTAATATAATTTGCATGTGTAATTGGGGTGAAAATGAAGGCATTTTTACCAATTTTGTTCTATGGAGCAGGATAATGTCAAACTATTGTTACACCATTTTAACTTGATAGATCCAAATTATTTTTCTAAATCTGGATCTATTAATTTAATTAATTTGACTGATTTTTGTCTTCTTTTCTATTCCGGAAGAACTGTAATTACATTTACAACTACTACTAATAATCTCCATACCGGTCATCAGTGATTGAAATTAACATATATATGTTTGTTGTAATGTTTATATAATGATAATATTTTTTGTGCTTTGTAGGGTGACATTGTGAGGAATTTAAAAGCTGCTGGTGCCCCTGATTTGGATGTGAAAAAAGCTGTTGCAGAACTTAAGTTAAGAAAGAAGGTTCTTGAAGAGAAAGAACTTTCTCTGGCCCCAGCAGCAACAATGTTTGATAGAGCTAAAATGGAAGATTTATTGAAGAGAAGGTTTTTTATTGACCAATCTTTCGCTATATATGGAGGTATTATTGTTCGGATTTTATCCTTTGGATTATTGACATTTGAAATGAGTGCTATTGAAATATTTATTAATTCTGTTGTGGGCAGGTGATTAGATTATCCCCCATTCCTTTCTTTCTTTTATTAATTTATGCAATGGTTGTGTGCACATTTTTATCTTTTTTGAGTTTTTTAAGTTCACAATTTTCTGTGTTGTGTTAGGTGCTTGTTGGTGGAGGCTTATTGTTGTCAATGGTGCAATGTTGCCATTGATTATTGTGTTTTCTCCAGAGCTGTGTTGCTTTACGTTTGCTTAATATGAAGACCGTGATGGGTAACATATTACAAAAAACTTTGTCTGAAGTGAATAAAACTAAGAAAAGTAAATTCTACTTTTCTTAGATTCTTTGTTAATTTTGTGTACTCTCTCAAGATGAAATTTTCATTCTGTAATAATGAATTTCACACATCTATGAAATGAAGCTTGTAGTCATCAGGAACATAAGCATATTTTTCTCAGCCAGTTTTTAACACAGATTGTGTTTTTGTATTCAGATTTGCACCATCTTCCCCCATTTTTCTTCAATAGTTAATCCATTTAATACATTAAAAATTGGCCTATTCCATTTCCTTATAAATAGCTTACTTAGAAATGTGTTGATCTCCCAACTCTCTTGTGTACTTGTCCTACTTCAGAAACTATTCATGTTAGAGAATATGTAAGCAATATTTGAAATCAGGGTGTAACACTTGGTAAATCTCCCATATTTTGTTTTCTGATGATTTTTCATTGCTGACTAGGTAAGTAATTATTTTGTGGATAATTCATGCATTCATAAAATTAAAACCATCTTACCACAAATATGATACGTGCTAGAGAAATTGTAAGCACATACTTGGAATTAGGGCATGATGAGAAGTAAATGCAGCAGTTTTATTTACGATCATTTTTTATTGTTGACTGTGTTAGACTAGATTAAAAATAATTTATTTTCGAAATCAAACTTGCAATTTCATTGAGAATAGATAAAGGACACCTTTAAAAAAATTAACTTTATAGACCAATATAAAATAGGGTGAGGATAATCTCATCACATCTGCTTTCATTGCTAATATGTCTTGTGCTATTGTCCGAAAATATTTCTGTATAATTGACAGCTGGGGGTGGGGTAGAGCGATGTTGCCACTTACTCGGGTGGCAGAGTTGGGTGGTTGTGTGGTTTTACTTACATCAGATCAAAACAGTAGCAAGAAACAAATTGCAATAAGAGCTCATTACAGTAGATGGCATAGAAGCGAACCCATGATACATAACCAAAGAAGTAATAGCACTCTTCAATTTTCAGTTTCTTTGTATTGTAAAATTTCATTTTTACCCCCTTTATTAAGCATTGGCTACTCTGCAGTGGAATCATCAGAGTTTGATGTCTCTGATTGGAAAACAGAACCCCTTCACCTCTGTCAGCCGCATGCTGTTCATGTAGACAGAAATATTATTCAGACAATAGGTTAAAGAATATTTTCCTTTTTTTCCAGGAATAACTGGGCAGTATGACTTTGGGCCGATGGGTTGTGCCCTGAAAGCTAATCTTCTACATGCTTGGCGTAGTTTCTTTGTCCTCGAAGAGCAAATGTTAGAAGTAGATTGTTCGGTACTTACACCGGAACCAGTACTGAAGTATGTTCACAATCTTTTCATTTGTAAATATTCTTTCCCTTTATTTACAGACACATTGATTAATTCTTTGCACTTGGAGGGCATATTAGTAATGACTAGACATCAGATGTTTAGGCACTAAAAATCGTCTCTGAAGCGTCTAAAAAGACATTGAAAATGTCAAGAATGAGGAGAAAAAAGTCACTGTCATAAGTTACATACACAATAAATTGAAAAATTGTTTGTAATTTTTGTCTATATTATTTTGTAAACTTAAATGCGGAATAGAATTGAAAAGTAGATTTTAATGTAAAACAAGATTCACATATTTACAACTCTTTCACATTTGATTCCAAATAGTTTTCATTGCAATATGTTACCAGTAATTTTTCAAGGATCACATTTTCCAATTAGCAACAATTGGGAGGCAAAATCAGTTTTGGATGTGGAGAAGGATCTCTTAACATGTACCGATGTGACTGGCATATATTTTAGCAGTCCAACATTACCATCACTGAAACCTCCTGAGAATTTAGATTTATTTCCACCTAAAATTTCAGTGCCCTCTGTGTATTGTCAATCGACCATGTTCTCAGAACATGACTGGTATTTATGAAACAGGGAAATGGAAAGAAATCTATTGGTATACTTTTAGAAATTCTCTCATATTTTAAAATACAAATATGTGAATTGGAAGTTTCATAATGGGTAGTAACGTTTGAACATGTCGAATTTTCTGATATCTTAGCATTGCATATTAAAATAATACATAAATAAGTCCACTAGAATGAAATAGTCATTTTCCTGAAGATCTGATGCCTAATGATGGCCAGTGCTAGGACTTGAAATATCATTTTGTTGGATATTCAGTATTATATTCTTGGAAAATTATTTTAAACCTTTAGTTTAATTGTAAGCAATTTAAAATAGATCTATATTAACTTGACAAGATATTGAGTGGTTAAAGATGGACCCAATTACTTGTGATGTTGAATGGAGTGTTAGCTAGTACAAAGCAAGAGGCAGTAGCAATTTCATATTTGAAAATGTATAAGTCTTATCAATCCCACCACTAGGTAAATACTCACATGTGAGAAAAGGATTAAAGATCGGACTTTGTGTCACGGAAATGCCTAGTCTGTTTTTATACAAGAAATTATTATATCTTGTACTATGACTAATATAAAAAAAATCATTTGGCCACACAATGTGCATGTACATTATTTCTCCATTTTATAAATTTTAATTGAATTTTTAGTCCATAAGTTATCCCATATTTTGAATTTTTTTCATCTAAAGGTATGTACATATGTAGGTACATGTTAGTCCCTATAAATGATGGCCCTGATGATGACATACCCCAATGTCATCTGAGGTTTGGCATGTAAAACTGTTGGTTTAAAGGTCTTCCTTGAATGGTAATCTATTCTCCACTTCAACCCAGATTTCCCATTAATAGAACTACATCTGTAACCAACATTAAAACCAGTTCTACTCATAGTTTAAAGACAGTGTATCATTGTTTAATGGTCTGACCATTCAAATATTACATTCTGCAATTTATAAATAATGTAAAGTTGCAATACTAATTTTATTTAGAATTATATTTACTAAAATTTGCAACCTCTTTAGAGCATCTTTACAGCGAGTAATAATCATAATAAATATCAGTGCTGCAGGAATTTAAATGTGATTTGACTGATGGGTATGATATTTTTCAATAGATGTGTTACATGAGCAAATGTTGGGTATTTTTAATTCATCCATTTAATATGAATGATAATCAAAATGGTAATGCTAAGAATAATGTAAATGTTAAATGGCTTGATCTTGTGAAGATACATGGAAGTAAGGAAATGAATAGGAAAGATCTTCCTATATGGTTATTTCCGATTAATAGTGTTTTAAATTCAGAATATAATTTATTAATTAATAAATTTCATATTAATAATCTTCAGTTAGGAATTAATCAATAACAAGATGGAATGATTATTAATCCTAAAAGAGTTCTTAATCAATTTATAGGAATGTTTATAATATTTGATGTTGGATCAAATGATGAAAAAAAAATTAGTTATCAATTTCAGTTGGTTGATTGGGTTTCTAATTTTAATTGTTTAATGGATAGGGTTGATTGAATAAAATCTAGACAAAAAAGGCATACCACATAAAGCCAAACTTGAAATTAAAAAACAAACAAAAGTCGAAGGTATTTGATTTACAATTCCGCCTATTCCACGAATATCTTGAAGATCATTCAAACCATGAATAATAATACTTGCATACATAAATAACAATGCCTTAAATAATGCACGAGTTAATAAATAAAAACAAGCTACAAAGGCTTTTACTGCAAAGGGCTAATAGAATATAAACTTTGCAGAGCATCTGGACATGTAGACAGATTTGCAGATTTAATGGTGAAAGATATAGGAACAGGTGAATGCTTTAGATTGGATCATCTAATAAAAGCTCATTTAGAGAAAGTGGCTTTAGATAAGAAAACATCAGAAGCAACAAAAGAGGAATGCAAAGACATCGTTGTAAAGGTAAATGTAGCTTGATGTTAAGTACTGTGATCACTCATGTATGATTAGGTAATACCATGTACAACTCTGATATTTTATTACATTAATTGTTAAATGTTTTATTTCTTCCTAAAATAGTTGGATGGAATGAAAAAAGAAGAAATGAGCCAGATTCTTCAAAAGTTCAACATTCGCTCTCCACTCACTGGTAATGAACTGACAGAGCCCATAGAATTCAACCTAATGTTTGGCACGCAGATAGGACCATCAGGTTTAGTTAAAGGGTATGTCCTAACATCCATCATCATCATCATCAACACCATTGTTTTATTATTATTATTATTATTATTATTATTATTATTATTATTAAGGGAATATTATGTTGTTGTTTTTTGTATTACCAATGTGTAACCATTAAGTATTTTGTGTTATTACAACCAATTCTTTGAACAAATGTAATTATTAAAATGAATTGTTACTCAGTAACATAGTCACAATTTGGATATATTTACAACTGCAGAATATATTCTCAGAGCGTAATTGCGTCCAACAAGGTGACAGGAATGGTGACAATTATATGTATTGTTATAGACAATTGTATGTGATGGAGAAACAATAACCATAATGTATTTGAAATTTGGCGAGAGCAAAACTTGTTAGAGTTAATGGAAAATGGAAAGTGGAATGGACAGTTACAGTTAATGGAAATACAAACAGTTACAATGCAGATAAATATAATAAGAAAATATATATTTCTTTTTAAACATAAAGATTTGTATATGTTAGTGAGGAGACACAAAATTCAACCAAACAAGAAGAGGAACTTACTGTGAATGTAATTTTTTTAAATTTCATTTTTCAAAACAGTCAAATATAAAACTGAAAATATCAAAGCAAAACAATGCTTAAGTCAATCAGACCAGGCTTGGGCAAAAGAACTCTACTGCAAGGGAGTATGTTTGCTGAAAATATCCAATTCAATGCAAAAAATTTAAAATGAGAAATGAATTCCACCCTTGCACGACCACATCTCTCTCTGTGGTGACAGTGAGAAACTCAAATGATGTAATTACATAAGAATTTGTTGGGGGGAGGGGGGGGTATTGAGAAAGAGGTGAATGAGGGGGGGATTAAATAATTTCTAAATTCTTGAAAGCCAAAACAACAGAAAGAGAAGGATATAATTGGGTAAGAACAATTATTTGAAATGATAAAAATAAGTGATATTAACTTCTGAGTCATTGAACTAATTGTTGTATTGTAGAATTTTTGTTTCATTTATACATAGTCCATTATATTTATAGGATAATATGAATGATTTCTGATGTAAATATATATTTTCCTGTTTTTATCCAATATGACAATATTGTGAAAATCAATTGTTCTTGAGAAATGTAACCTATGACAGGTAATGTAATGTTGGAAATGTCAATTTCTTTGATATTGTTTTGATGTTCTCTTAGCGACTTTTCTTTTAGTCTGACCAACATAGGTGGCTGGTCAATCTATGCAGAGTATGCAATATACTGTACAGTTTTAATTCTTATGTAAGGAGATCTGGTGTAAGAAACATTTCTGACATATATCTGACATATTTCATTGTCATTTTATTCTCATTTTAGCAGCCAATTTAAGATGAGAACATCTTTTTTAATGTTATTGGAACGTTTTAATGAAATAACTGTAATATAGGGTAAACTGAATTATATTTGAAGCTGTTTTAGAGATTGTCTTGAACAGAATTGAATTAGAAACTAATTGTTGTTGTAGTCTGTAGTTGGTCATTTCTTTATAGGCTTTGTAACAAAAGGAAGGGTATGATTATTTTCAAGTAACATCTTGCAGACCTTCTGTATATGATACATGATGCGAGATAGTGATTGAAATTATAATTTAATTGTTCATATTTCCAGGCTGTATACGACACCTGTTTTGTGTGGAAAGGGATGTTCTGAAAAATAGGTTCAATGTGAGAATTTCTTTTGATATCGTATGTTATTAATTTGTTTCAGTTAAAATTCCATCTTTTTCTTGTTCTAATGTAAATTATATAAAAGGATTACATGAATTAAAAGTATATAAAAAATTTAATATTTCCTATTCTTGAATAATCATTAAAAGTTTATCATTGTTTTGTGCATAATTACCAACGTAGAAAAATCTGCCATTTTAATTTTTTTAAACAGTGTCTTATAATTTTCACCTGTAATTTTAATAATTGCAGCTATTAGTGACACCAGAAAAGACCTGCAAAGTCTTGATATGCAAACCAGTTATTGTTTTTGATTGTGTGTAATAAAAAAGAATACCTTATAATATTATCTTAAGATTATGACAATCATTATTGTTCGTAACCAGAATTTTTTTTCTTTTAGCTTTCTACGTCCTGAAACCGCCCAAGGTATTTTTGTGAATTTTAAGAGACTCTTAGAATTCAATCAAGGGCGACTTCCTTTTGCTGCAGCTCAAATTGGTAATGCTTTTAGAAATGAAATTTCACCCAGATCTGGGCTTATTAGAGTGAGGTGAGTTCTTTCATGTAATTATTAATATAAATACTGTTGTTTAAAGAAAACAAAAATTACTTTGATAATTGTCTTGATGTTGTAATTAATTTTATGTTGTATAATATTTTATAGAGAATTTACAATGGCGGAAATAGAGCATTTTTGTGACCCTTCGAACAAAAATCATCCAAAATTTGATTCTGTTAGAACCACTCCTGTTTTGCTCTATTCAGCTTGCAATCAAATGGATGGAAAATCTGCATCACTCACAACTATTGGAGAAGCAGTTGATTCAGTATGTACTTCTCTTAGGAGGATAGAATTTACAGATAATTTCCTTGTTTGAGGAGTGTTGTTGTATTGTTATTATTATTTAATATTATTAAAATAGTAATAATAGATGATGATAAAAATCTGATGGGATATCTCCCAAATAATTGTGAAAACAAAAGCACATTTTCTTCATGGGACCATAGTCTTCTTTTGTAATTGATCAACTGATTGTTGTAGAGTGGAAATTTCTGGCTAGAAATGTAGTAATACATTTTTACATTTAGAATCTTGACATTAATATTATTCAAAATAATGACACAGCCAATTACGCAATTAGCCAAGTATATTAATAGACTTTATATGTTCACCCTCAAGTGTGCGAGTGCACTCTATCTATTATACAATACATTAATGTGTCTTTATAACTTGACAATATAATCTTGCTCTTTATAGTACCTTTTCCCGTAGTATTTCTTGTTAAAGTGTCTTTATAACTTGACAGTGTGATCTTACTGGTTATAGAACCTTTTCCTGTAGTCTTTCTTGTTAAACTGTCTATATAATTTGACATTATGATCTTGCTGGTTATTGTGCCTTTTCCTGTAGTATTTCAAAACATGTTCTGCAAATAAAATAAGTCCCATTTTTGTTATAATTCCGAATTTTGAAAATATGTTCGAGAGTTCAAGTAGAAGTGGTATCATCTTATACAACCATTACAAATAATACAAGAAGTATTGTGGCATCACAAGTTTAAAAGTAAAGGACTAGATCTTAAAAAATAATTAACAAACGATGGTTATCCTACATTAAGTTGTTTTTTTTAAATAATAGAAGTTAAATCCGCATAATGGAGATCTCTTTTCTAAAAATGTAGGGTGTTGGATGCAAAAACTGAAAATTGCTGTTGTATTTATAAAATATCCTTGAAGGAATCCATATATATGCATAAGCGGTGCTTATTACTTTATTATTTTCATGGTAATTTTAACTAAGTATTACTTCCTTTTTGATTTGTTGCAGAACCTGATTGCCAATCAAACTTTGGGATATTTCATGGCTCGCATTCAGTTGTTCTTGATACGCATTGGTGTTGATGAGAAAAAATTACGCTTTCGTCAACACATGAGCAATGAAATGGCTCATTATGCTTGTGACTGCTGGGATGCTGAACTCCTTACATCTTATGTAAGTTTTATGATATTAACTCTTCAAGCATGATGAACCACTGTGGCTGAACTCCTGTGTCAATGAAACTTTTCTAAAATTCATGTCTGTTTGTCTCTACTTTGCTCACATAAGGTTATATATTTACTAAGTATAAACTTCAAAAATGTTAGTGTTAGATTATTAAATTAGCAATGTTATTGTTGAATAATAATTCAAAATAGTCCATTGATTCACCATTTTGGAGAATGTAAATAACAGTTTTACAGTAGCACATCAATTCTAATATCTTTAGGGGCCTATATGGTACAAAACACCAGAAAATTTCAATACCAGAAAATTAGAACTGCCGAATTTCACATGCATCTCTTCAAATACAAAATCTCATATGCCATATGTAATCACACTTACACAGTACCGTTACAAAATCAGATACTTAAGAGTTAGAAAATGTCCTATCTATTCTAGGAAGCCTCAATGACTTCCACCTCTTTCGAAATCGCATTAGAAAACTGCATGAGGTCACACGTGCTAAGTAGTAGTATCATTCAGGACAAGATTTTTGTCGCACACTCCTGAAAGGAATAATTAAGATGAAAATATACAGGTGACCGATTGAAGGTGAAAAATTTTGAGAAGGACAGAACTCTGTTGATTCTTCACTACAAATGGATTCACGTTTTCATAAATTTAGTCAAGATATGCCATTCAACTTATTAGTTTATTCACTTTTGAAAAAAATTGTCCTTAAAAAAATCATCTTCAATTTCCAATTGAAGTATAATTCTTCCCTTAAATTCAAAGATCTCCAGGAACTTCTTATCCCTCTCAACCTTCTGTTCTTTGGTATACAAGAGTTATTCTAAGAAGTGACCACTTTGACAGGTCGGGAAACAAATGAACGTCATGCAGGGGGATGTCTTTGCAAGAGATGGTGAAGAAGCAATTTTCAAAAGCGCTGGCTATAAAAGAACGCACTGACAAAATGAGTGCATAAACATAACCTTCCATTATGTTGCCAGCAATAGCTAAGCAGTAGCTGTCTAAGTGGTGCCTTCTTATAGTAATCTCTAGAGACCAGATTTGTATGTAATTACATATTTTTTGTGTTTCTACTTATCTTTTTCAAAACTATAATCTTGGTGAATCGTCACTCCCCTAACTCAATATCCAATTTTACATATTTTACATACAACGTTACATATTTTTACATATTTAGTACTATATTACATATTTTGCTTTTTTCCCAAAATATTTTTTTATTCGATCATTTTTCGTTAATTTTATTAATTATTTTTTATGGAAAGGAGTTTTTAAAACAATCGGTATTTTCCCCTACATTATTGGTGAAAACTATGGGTGGAAAGAATCATTGTTGCCAGTTTCATTGCCTTCAACATTAATTTCTGAGAAACTTTGGCAATCGCCAACGTGTAACACTTTGATGAGAATGTTGCATGCAGCAATGATAGTTTGCTGGTCATAGATGTTGCCAATTTCTACAATTGTTCCTATTGCATCTAGTCTGCCTGAAGGTGTGTATAACCTTGTCTGTATGCATCATGGTCTGGCTTAACTATGGTTCATGATAACAGTGCTTTTATCACTGACAGGAAAGTTTTTTGGTGCAAAGTGTCCATCAGCTTGTACTCTCAAAGTGATTTTTAAAACATTTGTACTATTTTAAAAATTTATTTAGGATTTTTTTTACAAATGTAATTTCATATTATGTAAATGTGTTTTAATTTTAATATTACATATTATATCAGATTTTTCATATTCATTACATATTTTTACCGTTTTCATTACATATTTACGTATGTATTTTGATGTTTTATACTACACATTTTTCCGGTCTCTAATAATCTCTCTATACCATTGAACTCGGGTAGTCCATGGACCCATGTCAGTTCTTGACTATGTTTCTCCCTGTAGTTACAGAGAGGTCATGATTGTAATTGATAACATTTGAGGATGAGATGGATAGAGCTATGAAATGGCTCCCTCTCCATAATCACATGATGAAAACACTCATGCTGTAGGTAGGTTTTAAATTCACACCCTCTGTATATTGGCTTCTGCCAAAACTAAAAAGGGCAGCCACTAATTTTATATTGTGCTGTTGTAATGTTTTTATGACCCACAAATCATTAGTTAACAATTGAATTGTGTTCATAATATACAACAAGCCTTGTTTGATTTGTGTGATAAACCTTTGTATGATATAGGGCTGGATAGAATGTGTTGGCTGTGCTGACAGGTCAGCTTTTGATCTGACTCAGCACACCAAAGCTACTGGTGTAAGATTAGCAGCAGAGAAGAAACTCGCTGAACCGAAAATTGTAAACATTACTGGTAAGTTAATAATTAACACGTTCCGAATTGTATCTGTAGAGCTATAAGTAGCTAAAATTCTAAATAATGAAAACACTCGGTTGATCAGATGTTAATTAAGCTGTTTTTTTTTAATTATAATGTTTGGAACTCAATAAATCAACCAAAATTTATTAGGTACATTGTCTCATTGAATAAATATGCGAGAGTAATTGGTAGAAATTATTCTTAATCTCATCATATTACACAACCTAAGACAAAAACAGAAAATAAGATTAATTTAAATGAAGTTTATCATTATCATTTCATAGACAGATTTTTAATATCCGTTGATTTCAGAGCAAGGTTTACGGATTTGCCAATATTCGTAACTTCAGAAATTGAGATTTTCTTTTTGACTTTTTGATACAGTAGTATTATATCATATCCTATTCTATGGTAGAATGATAATTATGCTAATGAAAAAGATAGGTGGAAACAGAAAATTATGCTATGGAAGGAAGCTAAATGTTCAAGAAATCTGTAGATCTTGCTCATAGAAATTAAATTATAACTTAAGCACAAAAGATACCTAAAACTGCCTTCATCGTTTGTGTGCAATTCTAATTTGAGTTTGTTTGTTTACTTTTTTCTCTTGCAGAACCAGTGCCCAATAAAGCTGCTATTGGGAAAGCTTTTAAGAAAGAAGCCAAAGGGATCATGGAAGTTTTGTCTGCTATGGATCCTGTGACTGTGGGTCAACTTGAAGAAGATTTGGCTAGCAAAGGGTAACAATTCATTCTAGAATCATGGATTTGAAAAAAATTGTTTTTGCAATACATTCAGTGATAAAAAGGAAAATTAACAAACTATTCACAGTAAGACTCAAAATGCAATCTCTGCAAAATTGTTGCATTAATTTATTTATTTATATACAAACAGACTCATTTGGCACACATAAACAATCATACTGCACACAATAGCACAGTTCCACCCATATTAATGTTTTATCTCTCAGTAGGCATTATATTACAAAATTGATTTTATTTTGAATCAATCACAGTCAAGATTGCTCATAAGCCAGTAATATTCAATGTGACAATTTTTTTTTATTTCTGTACTCCCTTTTATATTTTGTGCTAGAAAAAAGGGCTAGTTAATAGGGATTTATTCTTTATTTAGAATTACACTGCCAAGAAAACTACAACAGCACATACTTTCATGTGTCAGTAATGGTTATGTTAACTTATAATACCACAATTTCTGCCCATATTAACGCACAACTTAGCACAGCTCCTTGTAAAACACATTACCAATTGTAGTGTGTTAGGCATGAAAAATGAAGTATTTGAAGGTAAAACATCAACATCAATTCAACAATCCAAAACACCCATTTCATACACCCAGAGGCCCAACACAGAAGTTATTCTGAGAATTGATGATTGCCTTTTTGTGGCGTTCCCATTGTTGTATTGCAATGTGAAAACTCTTGAAGGATTTTAGCAAAAGAAGTGCAGGGAATTTGAATAGGCAAATTCAAAAATTTGCAAAATTATTTTCAACTACTAATGTTATAAAAAATTGTACACAGCCTTAAAAGAAACAATTTTTCAGAACAAATTTCATTTAACAAAATATCCCCATCATCAGTATTGAAACTTCGCTCAAGAATAGTGTGTAGGGCAAGTATCATTTTCTCTACCATTCTGTGCCAAATAAGAGGAAAAAATTATATTTGTGTTGTTTTTTAGAAAATAATTGTTTAAAAATTGCCTATATTTCTTGCAAAAACTTCTCAAATTTCCAAAAAGAGTGTTTGACCTTTCTTCAAGATCGGTTTTTGAAGAACAAATTTACTTTAGGAAAAATATTACTATCTTCAATATTGTAGTTGTAAGACGACACTGAAAAAATTAAATTTTGCAATTGGCTGGCAAGCAGACAAACATGATCTGCCAAAGTAAGATGCCAAAAAAAAATTTTATTGAAAAATTGCTGGTTTTCTCTGAAGCGTTACAATACTTTATGCTGTGAAAGCTGTATGTGAGAAAGTAAAAATATTTATTGTACTACGTCAAATAATAACAATATTTTTCACATTGGAAGTAGAAAACCCAAATGTCTAAAATTCCTTTTTACTTTCCTATGTACCTATGTATATAAGGAGTAATACACATAGTATAGGGAAAGTTATGTAATGCTGCAGAAAATCAATTTAAAGATTTCAATGGAAATGCACGTTTAGGGGGCCCTTGATACCAAAAAAGTGACTTTTTCAAATCATCTATCCATCTAATGTCTGTAAACACTATCAGTGTGTAAAACATGCATAGGATTTTTTCCAAATTCAAGAAACCCCTTTCCATCTAGCTCGAGTCGAAACTTTGAGATTTTGAAAATCATTCTTCAAAATTTGGGCATACTTTACATTAAATCCCCCGGATGTTTTCAAAATTTTCTCAACAACGACTTCAAATTTTTTCTTTAACTTTCTTGTAATTTTCTTGTAATTGAGTAACATTTACTTATAAAAGTGGCATAGGTCTGATTTTCACAGTTAACTCTGTATTTTTGAAAATTTCAAAAATATGATTTTTTTTTCTGTCTTCCTACAACTACAAAATTAAAGATGGAGATGTTTCCTTAAAATAAAATTTGTTCTCCATGGTGAGTTTTTTTCATTAGTCATGTAAATATTTTTGAAAAGTTTAGTAGTTTTCGCGCAATGTTGCATGAAATTGAAATTTAAAAAATTACAAAACAAGATTTTCTCAAAAATGGTTCCAAAATTTTTTTTTAACTTTTGTTAGGAATAGTACTAAATTCACTCTATAAGATGATATAAATGCCTTATCACTGTATTCTTTTGTTTTTTCAAAAATTACAAAACTATAATATTTTTGACTTGTCTCTCAGGTTGTTATTTACATGAGCAGTAATTTCTTTACATTTATGTATTTATGAATACATGTGCTTTAAATAATGTAAGATAATCTCCCACAAACCCAATTTTCCGTGAAAATGAGTTCCCAAATTCAGCATTTTCAGAAACGCCATTTTCTCAGAAACGGCTTGAAATTTTTTTATCAAACTTTTCTAACAGATAGTAGTAATTGCTGTAACTTCTGTAATAGCGGTAACTCTATAAGATGATATAGAATTAATTGTGCTGTATGCTTTGATTTTTTTTTTTTTCCAAAAGTACACAAATGTATTTTTTTTAAAGATCTCTTACACCTGTAGTATGCTTGTTTCGAGCGATTTGTAAATACTATTGCATTTGTGTCTGGTTGAAGTGCTTGAAATGATGTCAAATTAAGTTTTTCAAAAACCCAATAGTTTTCTGGGAAAAGATGATCTAATTTCTAATTTACAGTAGTGCTTAATTGCTATGAGATTTGCAGCCAAAGGGTAACAATTCCATTCTAGAATCATGGATTTGAAAAAAAATTGTTTTTGCAGATACCATTTCAGTGGATAAAAAGAAAATTAACCAAACTATTTCACAGTAAGACTCAAAAAATGCAAATCTCTTGCCAAAATTTTTGCATTGAATTTTTTATGTTATATACAAACAGGAACTCATTTGGCACAACCATAAACAATCATACTTGCAACAAACAATAGCAACCAGTCCAACCCATATTAATGATTTTATCTCTCAGTAGGCATTATATTACAAAATTGATTTAGTTTTGAATTCAATCACCAGTCAAAGATTGCTCATAAGCAGTAATATTCAATTGACCAATTTTTTTTTATTGTTGACTCCCTGTTTTATTATTGTGCTAGAAAAAGGGCTAGTTAATAGGGATTTATTCTTTATTTAGAATTACCACTGCCAAAGAAACTCAACAGGCACGAAGTCTTCATGTGTCAAGGTAGATAGTTAGTTAACTAACTAATACCACCAATTTCTGCCCATAATTAACGCACAAACTTAGCACAAGCTCCTTGTAAACACACATACCAATTGTAGGTGGTTTAGGCAGTGAAAATGAAGGTATATTGAAGGTAAACATCAACACAAATTCAAACAATCCAAAACAACCATTTCATTACCACCCAAGCAGGGACCCAACACAAGTAAGTTATTCTTGGAGAATTGATATTTGCCTTTTTTGGCGTTCCCATTGTTGTATTGCAAGTGAAAAAAAACTCTTCGAAGGATTTTAGGCCAGAAAGAAGGCAGGGAATTTGAATTGGCAAATTCAAAAAATTTGGCAAAATTATTTTTCAACTAACTAATTTATAAAAAATTGTACCACACGCCTTAAAAGAAGAAACAATTTTTCCAGAACAAAAATTTCAATTAACAAAAACTATCCCCCATCATCAGTATTGAATACTTGCGCTTCAAGAATAATGTGTTGCAAGTAGGGCAAGTATCATTTTCTCTTACCCATCTGTGCCAAACTAAGAGGGAAAAAAATTATATTTGTGTTGTTTTTTAGAAGATGAATAATTGAGGTGTTAAAATTGCCTTATATTTCTGTGCCAATGAAAAACTTCTTCAAAAATTTTCCAAAAAAGAGTCGGTTTAACCTTTTTCAAGATCGGTTTTGAAAGACAACCGAAAGTTTACTTTAGAAAATATTACTATACTTCAATATGAGTTGTAAAAACGGAGGACAACTGAAAAATTAAGATTTTGCAATCGGGCTTGGCAAAAGCAGACAAACATAGTGATTTGCCAAATAAAGATGCCAAAAAAAAATTTTTATTGAAAAAATTGCTGGTTTCTCTGAAGCGTTTACAATACTTATATGTGTGCAAAGCTTAGTGAGAAAAGTAAAAATTTATTGTACTACGTCAAGAGTGGTAATAACAAATTATTTTATCACAATTGGAAAAGTAGGAAAACCCAAAGTGCGTCCTAGAAATTCCTTTTTACTTATCCTACTGGTACCTATGTATATAAGAGTAATACACATAGCTATAGGGGGAAAGTGTCAATGTAATGCTGCAGAAAATTCAATTTAACAGAAATTTCCAAAATAAATTGCCATGTTTAGGGGCACTTGATACCCAAAAAAGGACTTTTTTTCCAATCATCATCCATCTAATGTCCTGTAAAAAACACTAACAGTGGTGAAACAAAATCATGACATAGATTTTTTCCAAAATTCAAGAACCCCTTCCATGGCTACAGCTACGAGCGCGTCGAAACTTTTGGAGCGAGTTTTGAAAAATCATTCTTCAAAATTTCGGGCCATAACTTTACCATTAAGATCCTCCGGATGTTTTCATAAATGTTTTCCCAACAAACGACTCAACTTTTTTTTTTAACTTGTCTTGTAATTTTCTTGTAATTGAGTAAAGAAATACTTATAAAAAGTGGCCATAGGTCTGATTTCCAGTTAACCTGTATTTTTGAAAATTTCAAAATATGATTTTTTTTTCTGTTTCCTACAACTACAAAATTAAAGATGGAGATGTTTCTTAAAATAAAATTTGTTCTCATGGTGATTTTTTTTCATGTCAGTAAATATTTTGATAAAGTTACTAGTTCGCGCAATGTGCATGAAATGAAATTAAAAAATTACAAAACAAATTTTCTCAAATGGTTCCAAATTTTTTTTAACTTTTGTTAGGAATAGTACTAAATCACTCTATAAGATGATATAAATGCCTTATCACCTGTATTCTTTTGGTGTTTCAAAAATTACAAATTATAATATTTGACTTGAAGTGCTTGAAATGATGTCAATTAAGTTTTCCAAAAAAACCCAATAAGTTTTCTGGGAAAAAGATGATCTAATTTCTAATTTACAGTAGTGCTTAATCTAGTTTCTTAAAAACGGCTCCAAATTTTAGCAGCTCCAAGTTTTTTTGTTCTTCAATATCATAAAATAATATTTCCGTTCTATATTAGCGAAGCCAAAAAATAAGAAACATAAAAATTACTTGGGCTACAATATTGCAGCAGGCACCTCGAATAGCTAGATGAGACCAAATGGAAATAGATATAAAATAATGTGGGAAAGTCTGTGCCATTCTTTA